CCTTTTCCAGTCCAACCTCTTTTTAAACAGATTCAGACTCGTTTTTTCTTTTAGACCGGTCTGAAACCATTTCTTTTGTTCATGTTATACATGCCTTAATGGTAGCATAACTGGACTGTATTTGAAACACGGGAAGCCATGGTCCATATGAGGCAGGCTCTTTTGACTCAATTTCTCTTCAAATTCATTCTCTTGCTCTACACATATTTAATCTATCACAGTCACACACAATTACACAAAACACACATATGGCCCACGTGAGGGTGGCTATTTTGACTCCGACTTTCTTTTCTTTCTCTACATATACAAACAGGGCTGGACCTACAATGGACCTTGTGGGCAGCTGTCCCACAAAAATTAATAACCATAATTAACAAATTTATAATTTTACTAAAAGGTTTGTAAATTGTCCTTTCAAATTTTATCACAAATAGAAATAGAAATAAAGCCCTTTAACTTATAGTTTAGAGTTTAGACATCTTCCTATCTAATATTCCACAACGAACTTACAAAATTTTACTACCGGTCCATGTAGAAAACGTGAATCTACATAAATTCCTTTACACCTTTCCATTTACATATTAAAAACATCGACCAACAGTTTACCCACCAGCAAAGTAGCTATGTAGGAGATGCATTTTTTTTGTTTTCATATATTTTGTTTAGATAGGCTAAAGATCTTAGATAATATATAAATTTGTTTGGATCTAATAATCTGAATGGTTTAAAATTTACATCAAATAAACAATTTGGTCAAAAACCGATTTCAGAAAAATGTGTTAACCGCTAAAAATTTTTTGCTCCCACAAAAGATAAATTCTTGGGTCCAACCGAGTTTGACCAGCTAGAGCTCGGCTCGTTTAAATTTTTGGGACGACGGCTTGAGCTCGGCTTGTTTTGAGCCTTACAATACTGAGCTAGAAATCGGCTTGTGAAGAATTATACGGGCTCGAGCTCAGCTTTGGCTCGACTCGTATACGATACGGTAGCTAAATTTCCTAAAATGGTGTTTATTATTATTTTTTTTATATTAATACATAATAATAAAAAAGAATTTTTTATATTATATTAGTAGTTCATTTAGGTTCACAAACGTAATCAACCTTGGTAACACATGCTTGAGCTTGAGCGTGTTGAATAAACAATCTTAATATTAAGCTTGAGTTGGCTCGAGCTCGTTTAAAATGGATTTCGATTCAAACATTTAATAAGTCTATCACAAATAGCTTACGAGTAGCTTGACTCGTTCTAAGTCTACACTGCTAACAAATGGGGAGAATGAGCAATTGGTGTCTTTCATTAAGTTAACAATAATAACACGCCAAAGTCTAAACTATAAAAAAAAAACACTAAAGAAATGACATCTCAATAACCAAACCCTTGAAACCGGATAAAAATGCTAGATTTAACCTTGTATGATTTCTTCCGAGATTAGCAACTTAGCAAAGGCAACTAAAAGATCCAAGTAAATTAGTCATTTTCGGTATTATGGAGAAGAGGAGAACTTCATGTAATGATCTAAGCAGGGGCGGACGCAGGATTTTACAGTAAGGGTTGCACGGGAAAGTTAGGGGTTGCACGGTAGTATAAAAAATAAAATTTTCGAAAATTTTTTGAAAAGTTTTCTACTGCGGCCTGAAAAGTTAGGGGTTGCCGGTGCCACCGTGGACCACCCCTAGGTCCGCCCCTGGATCTAGGGTGAAGAAAGGAAGAGTACAAGATCAAGTTTGTTAATAAAACTAGGTTACAACCCGTGGAAACCACGGGTAACAAAAGAAAAACAATATTGATAATAAAAAATGGTAATGAAAAATCAAAGATTTATCCTTGATCCAACCTATAAAAAAAATCCCAATCAATCAATAAATCAATAAATTAAAAAAATACATAATATTAAATAAAAAAACCAATCACCCAAAACAACTACAAAGAGATAATTAGTCATTCATTGATAGTTAATATCTTCTCTCATTCGGAGATATTAGTTCTTTATCCGGGCTCTCTAACAAAAAGAGCAGCATTACAAATAGAAAGAAGGGAGAATTTCATATATATACCTTATTAAACAACTAAATATCATATTTGCGCAAATCTATTTTTTCAATAGTTTTTATTACTTAATAATCCTTTTTTTAATAATTTTAAATCATTATAACTGAAAAAAAAAGAGTGTAAATAGACAATAATGCCCTTTTTTTTATATATAAAAGGATCTTATTTTACATGCGACCCTCTTCCTCACGATCGCCGGTGTGTCTTCCTCCTTCTTGCCTTGTCACACCTTTCTTCTTGAAAACAAATATTAGCTTCATTATGTGGAAGCAGAACTACCTCTAAAGTAGAAACTATGACTTGGCATTGAGAACTTGATTAGGAAAAAGTATGAAGAAAAGAGATGGGATGATAGAAGCCAATTATGGATGGCTAATCCCCTTTAGAAATATAGATAGGAGAGATATTAGAGAAACACAATTGAAACCATTTTCTTACTTCATTCATAACCTCAAAAACGATTACAGTGAAATAAATATGTATTCAATTAACCTACACAATAACTAAACAAAGAATTAGGAGAAAACTAAGGGAAATCGTGGCCTAGTACTACCTAGTGGGAACAACATGAATGCTAGTAAATAAAATAAGCAAATATCAATTGAACTTCTTTTGTTCGACTAAGTCATGCACATGGATTAAATTGCATAATTAATATACTACCGATGCAAGTACGTATCATGGGAAGATAGAATACCCAGTTCGCCCTAAGAGGTTTCAAGAAAACTAAGCCTCTACACAATTTCAGAAACCTATTGAAATATGTACCCCATCAAACGAAAAAGAAATCTCAGACACATGTCACAAAGACCAACATGCCCGCTACAAAAATCAGTCTTCCTGTGCCTCCAAAAGCATCTGAACTCTCGTATGTTAAATTTCTTAGGACTTGTTTTAAGGGATTTTTTGTGTGATAATGGTAATATGTTTTTAACTTTTTACGATACCAACCTAAAAACAGATAGCTGAAAACTTTTTTTTTTTTTTTTTTTTTGGTTTGGGAAACATATTGAAGTAAACAAAGATGACTGAGATGAAATGTTATACAGGAGAGGTGTATACATGTGGGTATGCTTGTTCTTGAACAAAAACTTAAGGCATCGTAATTTTAATAAAAAAAATTACATGATTAGGTAAATTTTCATAAGGGTTGTTGTTAGCCTTAACGATAAGACACTATTTCAGCCACCTGAGCATCCATCTGTGAGCATAAAAAGTTCTGCTTGTGAAGCTATACATCACAACTTGAAATCAACACCATTGTACATTACCTACAGTATAAATGAAAACTAGACGTGCAGAACCAAAATTAAGCCTATGATTTGGAGTCCTGGCCTAAATGAAGGGCATATATTGAAAGGGAATTGTGAAATTAATACATGGGTTCTACAAATTCGAGATTCTTGTTGCATAGGTGTTGATTCTGTTACCAAAAAGAAGGGGATATAAGGAAAGGGCATATTACACGATTGCAAGAAGTAAATGGCTAGAGGCAAGAAGGAAGATGTTGAGAGGTGAACCAAGAGCTGAATCAGTTGTTTTATTATTTTGAAACATAGTTGGGATGCTTTCCAGAAGCGAATATAGATGGTAAAACCAATTCTTACTTTGACTCCCCCTTCACCATTGCATATTAAAAAGAATTCAAAGTGTAATCAAATGCAAGAAAATAAACATTCAATGATGCATTTACTTTGTTACCTTCTTTTCCAGCAAGAATCAATGATGTAGTCATGTAGATAAGGAGAAACAAATGTGTAGCTAATAAGTAATAACAATGCATTAGTTGTGCATCCATACAACCCTATCGGCTGAAAAATGATTAAAAAAACTTATTAAATCCATAAAACAGAAATCTATGATAGGAATCCATATCATACCAAGGAGAAGCGTTTCTTACAGAACTATAATTAAACAGATGCCTAAATGATAAGATATGTGTAATTATACCTCGTGTGTTCAAGAAAACTAATTTTTTGTGTTTCCGAATAAAAATTAGTTCCTTGAAATATAACATGTGTTCAAGAAAAACAAAAGAATGCTTCTGATAGCAAGCCTCAAGTACTGAATTCAAATCAACCCCAAATCTTTGGGTTTAGGAGAAAAACACAGCCAAAAAGAGCAACATGGAGAGAGAAATGCGACATCAGTGGGGGAAGAGCAATAACAGAAATTGAAAAGAGTAAAAACGACGGTTTTGTAGGAGAAAGAGGGAGAGTGTGATTAATCTTACTTAGCTGTGTCTGATTGTTGCATATGTGATGGTTAAATCGTTTGAAATCTTGGCAGCAACAGTGGAATCTTGGAAGCCTTCGGGTTGAGAGAGGGCGAGGGGTTTGAAATCAGGAATTTGTTTGGTGTTCTTCAAAGCTTAGGCAACGATTCTATGTTCCCATAAACCACTATCTTTGTCAAGAAAAAGTGTAGAAGAACTACTTCTAGGGTTATAAAACTTCAGTTAGTGTAGGAAAAATATGAGTTAAATTCCTCATTTTATTGTAACCTATCAATTTTTAATTTAAATTTGAATGGGTATCTGGTTTCCAAAATCCAGAAGGCGAAATTGGAGCAGATGATGTGTTATTCGGGGAATAACGGATGAGTAGATAAAGTCGTGCGTTTTAAAAGCTGAAGGGCATATTAGGCAATTTACTTTTAAAAAAATTGCTGGAAAGATGCCAAGTGGCAATAAGAAGAGTCTTTTATTATAACAGGGGATACGTGGCAACAAAATTAAATTCCCTACAAGCTTGAGTAACTAGCTTAGCGTGAAAGAGAATAACAACCCAAAGCCTTTGACAAATTGGGGTAATATCAACCACTAAAGTTTCTTTCCTCTCTTACAGAAGAAGAAAAAAAAAAAAAGGGAATAACTACTAATGGAATAATCAAAGTTTATAACCATATAACTCAATCTACCAAAAATTACAATTATAATTGACAGCAATTCTCATAGTTATTGAGTTTATATTTAAAATAAGAAGATAAATTGTACACTTAATGGTCCCAAGCCACACCCGTCCAATAAGAGGTACAATAAGAGGTACAATAAGAGGTAAATCACAGAACACCAATGGTCGCGAATTTTGAAACCGGTGCGAGGGCAATCGAGTAGGATATTGGGTTAGGACTAAGGAAATTACCAAACAGTCCTTGGCAATCATGTGGCAGCAACTGTTGTCTTCTTCTTCAATGCAACCGGAGAGTTTAGATCACGTTCATGACTTAACCCCAAATCAGATTTACACCATCTCTTCCTCTTCAAAAGATTTTGCAAGTCTTCCACCTAACAGGCACAAGTCTACCAATAAATCTATATTTAAAGTTCACAGAATCACAGCCTTAGTAGCTAATAATTGCTAATGTTATTGACAAGTTACTCTGAAAGTTTTTAATCTAAGAGTGTTGTTGGTGTATAAGTATAATTATAACCAACAAGTTTTAATGATGTGTTCATCTATCAAAGTTGATATTTTCTACCTACAGATTGATTTCTTGAATTATGAATCAGATAAGTGAAGAAAAAGGTAAACAAAGCAAGTGAATTGACCCAATTTTTATGTACAAAATAAAACGAGAATCTCACCTCTATTTGCTTGGATAATTATCCAAAATCGGGGATAGAATTTCTAGTTATCATTAGGAGTTCTACTTTGGTGAAATGGTGAAACTGAACCAAAATTGTTTCCAGACCAGTCTCTTGGTTGCATCATCATATTATACGGATGTGAATGAGGGGCGAAACCCTGATGATATGCACTTCCGCCACCACCTGATCGATTGGGCACCATCTGCGGTGGTGGGTAGGCCAAAGGCACCATCTGCTGTGGGTATGGCATTGGAATGGGAACATGAGAGTGACCATTTCTATTTCCAACGCCGCCATTGCCACCGGAATCGTGAAAACTCTTGGGAACAGTAGCGGAAGCGAACAAAGGATCGGAAGAAGATGGCCCTTCGTTAGATGATCCGTGCATCCGTTTTACATAAAGCCTATATTTCTGTAAATGACTGGCGACGTTCTCTCTGGTCAATCCTTCAACGTTCATCATTTGCATAATCGTTTTAGGAACAGCGTTCTTCACGCCTAAATGCGCAACAACCTCCACAAATCGCTTGTGCAGTTGCGGCGTCCAAACCAAACGAATCCGTTTCAACGACTTGGTGGAAGAATCATCGGCTCGCAAAGCGGAGTCAGCTTCCTCTCCAGCTCCACCGCTATCAACTCTCCGTAATTTCCTTGAATCGGAACCGTTTGGAGTCAGATCGACGGTCTCATCGCCTTCCACAACCATTTCTTCCTCTCTATCATCACTAAACGACTTAAAATCAGTAAGTTTATTCACCTGATTTTGTTGCGATTGCCATTGAAGACTTGAAACTGTGTTACGAGAAGCGCGGTCAACCTCAATCATACTCCGGTGAGGCCCCGGTGTGATGCTGAAAGCCGATGCCATCTCCGCCGATATCAGCAACTGTGATAACGACGGCAAGTCGTCGACGTTCGGCAACCCAGCCTCCCACTCCGAAACTCGGTCGTCGTCATCTCCACCGCTGACATCGAAGTCGGTAATTCTGACTTCCTCTCCCATAGCAATAAATTGGTAAGCAAATTGAACCGATTTCAACGAATTAAACGCCCTGGATAACAATTTTTGGGGTAGGATTCAGAGATTGGAGAAATTTGATCAGGTCACGTGTGGATGATTGGAAACTGGGGTAGATATTTTCGAGGGGAAAAAAGGGTAAAGTGCAAGGGGAAAGTGCACCATCTGGATTCCAGACAGGATTGAAGTATCTAGATGCCAGCGTGGTTATCTTACCCAATATTAGATATTTTTTTGATTTTGTTAGATCGCCCAAATTGTTATTTTTTCTAAAAACAATTATTTATTTATTTTTAGTTAAGAAACTAGAGCTACATACATAAAATCTTAAATTTGGTCATAGTTTGTCAAAATTTGAGACTTTAGCCAAAAATATTTTGAAGTTGCACTAGTTCAAAAAATAAAAAATAATAATTACGTCTTTACCTTTTTTCTTTTTCATTTTATATTTATAAGAAAATAAAAAATAATAATTCCACCCACCCTTACTATCTTGCCACACCACCACCTCTTTAACACGTTGTTCGTCTCCATCTATCTATCTCCTCTCACCACCATCACATCAACCGGCTGTAAAAACCTCAAAGCCACAACCATCACCACTTGTTGAAAAATCATAACTCCACCCCCACTACCCACAGGAAAGATCGACATGATCAACAATCCAAGACTGGATCATGGAAGAACCAAAATCATCAACGATCTATGTGCTCCTAAGGTCAACGCGACCTGAGATCCTACACTCGGCCAAATTCGCCTGCTTAGCTAACCAACTTAATGTAGTCCTCAAACGTCGCAAATACTTACTCTCTGGTGCAAGCCTGTATACAAGGGCGGACCTAGGGGTGGTCCACAGTGGCACCGGCAACCCCTAACTTTTTCGGCCGCATTGGAAAGTTTTCGACAATTTTCAAAATTTTTATTTTTTCTACTACCGTGCAACCCCTACTGTAAAATCATGCGTCCGCCTTTGCCTGTACATAACCGCAACCATAATCATATCATAGTCCTTGGCGATCCTCTGACAAAACATATCTTTAGTCAACGAAACATTACTCTTAGTCACAAATCCACCTCCGTTAAACTGCAAAACCACCGGTAATTTATGTAAATTATGAACTAGAGCTGGCGAGTAACCACCATAACCCCATCTCCCTGCTTTAACCCATGGATTTGACAAGTACTGAATTAGGGAGAAAGATTCGGAGGGTTAGAGGTCCAATTGATCGATATGGATATCTTTGGTAGCTACACCATCTTTAGAGAAGCTAGGGTTGGCCGGAGCGACTGATTCATCGAGGCGTGAGACGACGCCGAATTGATTAAATATTTTGCTATGGGTTTTAGTGAGGGTTTGTAATTGGTGTTTCAAGATGAATTTATGAAGAACATGATAGAATTTTCCAGATATAGACGACATGTTGAACAAGCGATCGAAGAAGAAGATTTGGTAAAGAACATTGGGGGGGGATTTGGGGATTAGTTAGGGTTTTAAGGTGATAGAAGAGACTTGTTCAATTCAAAAGTAGGGAAGAAGGTTCGATGTAGGTGGGTGAGTTTGTATTTTGTTTTTTATTCTATTTTAATTAAACAAATAGTAAAGTAAATAAAATGAAATGGAAAAAACAAATAGAAAGGGAAAAATGTCATTTCAAACACATTCAATTATGAAATTGACCAAAAATGCAACAAAAACCTTATTTTGGATCAGTGATGCAACTCCAAAAACATTTCGGACCACAGTCCCAATTTTTGACAAACCATAGGGACCAAATTTTCAATTTGTATATATTATATAACTTGCCATGCACATTACAAAATTACAACAGTGAATAATTTCTTTTAACAATTTGTTCCATTACATGTTATATTTCAAGGGACACATATATATTGTATTTATCGCAATACAAAAGGAAATAAATTTTAACACTTAGCATTGTATTTTCAAATGAATAAACTAAAGTTAGATGCTATAAAAGTCAAATATAACAATTTTCAATTTGAATAGATGTACAATACAAACATGTTATGCGTAGAAATTTGAAGCAAAGAAGGTTGAAAACATCATTTTTGCTTGAAAGAACCATTATGTAGCCATGGTTGGACATATATTTGGTCTACAAAACATTTTTAACACCATACACTTCGATTTTATCAAGGGAACGAGCGCCCAATCCCACCCAATCCACCCCTCTGACACTCATTACTTGCATTCATTATTCCTAGTCTCCAATACATGCTCGTTCTCTACTTCGATATTCTTCTAGTCTCCAACACATTCTCGTTCTCTACTTTTATATTCTTTGCCTCTTCTTTCTCTTTATACTTGTCATCAACAACCAATCTATCCATCATTGCACACTTGATTTGTGATGTGTTGTGATCCATTTATCAAAGTTAAAGCAAGAAAATGAGAATAAGATCTACTATGTGTTGGATACTTGTATACACTGTATGATAATATGTACGTATTAAAAGTTTAAGTAATTATTGTCCTTACATGCGCAAAGTGGCATGCGTCGAATAGTCTTATTTTGGTGAATGATTGGTTTAACAGTAAAATTGCGTTTCTTTTTGGTTTAAAAGTATAATTATAGTTTTTTGGATTAGGGTAACAAATAGTCACACCAATTAGATAAAATGTGATAGTTTTAACAATTATATGTCTCCAAAAGCAACCAATGGTCACATTTTTTTCTTTTTGATTTTCTTTATGTGACTAAAGGTAACAAATAGACACAACACTTAGAAACAATGTGTTGCTATAAATAATATACAACGATGGCTTTAACAATAAAGTGTCGCCAAAAGCAACCAATGGTCACATTCAATTTTTCATGAATTTTCTTTATGTGGCTAAATGATATCATGCGTCACAGTATAACATAAATAAATGTCACTAAAGGGTAACTAATAGCCACATGAGTTAGAAAAATTTGTTGCTATACATACTATTCAACGACGGTTTTAACAATAAACTGTCGCCAAAAGCAACCAATGGTCACATTCAATTTTTTATGAGTTTTCTTTATGTGGCTAAATGATATCATATGTCACAGTATAACGTAAATAAATGTCACTAAAGGGTAACTAATAGTTACATGAGTTAGACAAAGGTGTTGTTATTCGTAGTATTCAATGATGGTTTTAACAATAAAGTGTTGCCAAAAGCAACCAATGGTCACATTCAATTCTTTATGAGTTTTGTTTATGTGGCTAAATGGTATCATATGTCACAATATAGAGCAAATAAATATCACTAAAGGGTAACTAATAGCCACATGATTTAGAAAAAGGCGTGGCTATATGTACCATTCAACGATGGTTTTAACAAATATGTATGACGAAAAGCAAACAATGGTCACATTTGTTTTCGTTATGTTATTTGTTGATGTGACTAAATGATTTTAGATGTCACACTTTACCATAAATGAATATCACTAAATTGTACCAAATTGCCACATTATTTAGAATACAGTGTTGCTATAAGTAATATTCAACGATTCTTTTCACAATTATGTATCACTAATACCCAACCAATGGTCACATTATTTTCTATAAAGGTTTTGTTTATGTGAATAAATGACATCATACTTCACTTTCACAAAAATAAATGTGACTAAAGGGTAAACAATAGCCACATCAAATATAAAATAACCATGGTTAACACTAACTCGTCTCACGTTATATGTGACTAAAAGGTAATTATAGTGACACTTAAATGGTAAATTTCAATGTGGTAGTAAGACACCTATGGTGTCACAACATACGGTCACACTTTTGACGAAAAAAAGTAAGTATGGCGGTAGGATACAGTCACACTTTTAGGCCTTAAAAAGTGTGACCGTAAATCATTTTTCTTGCAGTGGATACATAATCTAGTGGGTCAGCATTAGCGCCTTCGACCCACAAGTACAATGAGGAAAACTCACCTCACAATCTGAACGATACTTGAACTAATCACTGCTCCAACCACTGGCTCTACAGGTCACATGTCCAACACACAGGGACCAAGTCTCAATCTACTAATCAAAATACCCCAAATAAAATAAAGTCAAACTTGGTCAAAGTAAACGATCAACAGTTAAAAGTCAAAGGTCATCCTTTAGCTAGTCGCCACGTCGTGGTAGCGAAACGAAAAACATACGACTCTTGCTCAGGCGCCACGTCGTAGCGACCTAAGGCCACGTCGTGGGCACTAGATTTCTGACAACTTAATGGGTTAAGTCATTTTCTTCAATTCTAAGGGCTCCAAAGCTCAGATCTGGTCCATTCTATGGTCTAAATGGATAAAGTTTCCAACTTTATCCCTTAAGACTCTCCGAGAGATAAAGATCTCAACTCCTAGGTCCAAAAAAGGCAAAAACACAACATGGCTTAATCATTAAGTACATAATCTTGAAGGTATTTTGTCTAACAATTCCAAAAGGGTTCCCAACACCATTACTAACATAAAAATTCGTGCTTTTCAGACATGCATGCCCACTGTATGTCTTTAACTCCTATTAGGTCAAAGCAAGGGTTAATGACCAAAATTCCATGCATGACACCAAAACTCATTCCTACTTTAGATCCAAAGCACCAAATACTCCAAATGGTCTGGAGATTCATAAAGTTGCAAGCTTTATGAGATCTCACCACTCAAACCCATCAAGACATGACAAAAAGGGATAAAATCTAAAGATCTAGCAACTTAGCAAGGAAAAGATTGGGTCTTGGACACTCACCAAGGTCCAAAAGTGTTGGATTAGATGTCTAAGCCCATAACTATAATTGGTATGTACTTGATTTGATAGTAGCAAGATCCTTTTGGGTTGCCTTCACTCATACAACTTGACAGATCACTTTTGGAGAGAGAGGTTGAATTTATTATTTAGAATAATAAATTGATATAATTGATTTATTAATGTATTATGAAAATAATATATTAATTAGAAATCATATTATTTAATTAATATTTAATCAAAAATTAATGTAGAATTAAA